GATTTATTTATATATTATATATATATATATATATATATATATATATATCACGTAAAGATATAGCTTATAATTTGATTCTTTATATAATTTCTCATCTTTTTATATATAGGTAATTTTATTCTTGGCATCAATACATTATCCATCAAGAAAGACACGTAAGTAGGTAACATGTTTGATTAACAAAGAAATATCAGAGAACGTATTGGTCTGATCATTGATTCACTTTATTATATAAATCTAACAAAACATGCATCTATGTGCATTCACGTGGCAAGAGAGATAACGAAAAGAGGGGGGGGGTATGTATAAAACGTGTACTGTGAGTGATGTGAGTGAGTGATGTAAGTATTAGGTGAGTAAAGTACAATTACATATGGAAACGGGAATAATATTATTCCAGGTACTGTGTAAGTTCCGAACGTGGCCAATTTATGTAAGTTTTACAATAAATGGAGCGCAGGGATAAGATTTCCTATATTCTCACTTATCTTTAAGTAACTACAGGTTTATAAGAGTAGTAAAAGTTGGCAAATTACAATCAAATTCTCATTGTATGCTAACGAAGTAATCATTGCATTTTACACTATAAATAGCCTTCACTCAGTAAAATTTTGAGACATAAGAAACGAGTAAAAAGAACAGAGAAGTAAGAAAAGGAAGGAGAAAGAAATAGAGAAAGAGAGCAGAAAGAGAAAACACTTTTACACCACTACTGTTTTTCTATAAACCTACATTTCAAGGTAAGGGGGAGGAGAACCTTGTTTCTTTAAATTTTATTTACTACTATGTTATTTATTTATGTTATTTTCTTGATTCATTTATTTAGTGAGGTGTCCCTAACCTCATTTATTTGCTTAACCTTTGATTATTTTTGTCTATAATAATTATTAAGGTGTTCATATTTTATATTGTTTCATTATTTTATAATGATTTTCATTTTTTATTTATATTATTGGTACTATTAATATATTCTTTTTACGTAAATATATTTATTGTAAATACATTTATAATTAACTATGATATAGTTTTGTTAAAGTCTCTTTGACTCATATTGTTGTTATTTCTTCACATATTTATGAAGATAAATATTGTTCTATGGCCATAGAAGATAAAGTTTGAATTATTTATAGCTGGAGGTTTGACCTTGGGGATTTAAATGAGTAATCATTCATGGTAAAATATTCTGTTGACATTTGGTTGGTACTACAATAATGCTCATTTATCCTGACTAGTCACTATTAAAATGATTCAAATTTTATTATTTAATTTTTTATGTTATTACATATAATCTTGTTCTTTATTTAACTAAAAATATTTATTTAATAAGTGTTCTCACTCCTTATTTCTTGTTTTGGAAAAATTTAATAATTAAACAAATATAGATGGATGTGCCAGCGATCCGTGCTCCTTTTCCTTCAATTATTTCTGTTGTATTTTCCGGGACTACGTGGAGTGTGGATGCGGTAGCAAATGCAGTCACCTTCAATGGAGTAGCAGTGTCTAGCTTTACTTTCTCCCCAAATCAAGAAATCCCTACCTTGATCGATTGTCCCATAATAGTCACCTTCTTTTTACCACCTGCGAACCATGTGAACCCCATCGTGAACCTGTTCCAACCACCTATGTAATTATTATGGAAGTAGAAAAATAAATACTATGATGTGTAAATAGGCTTGCAATAATCTGTATTATATAGGTAAGAAAAGCAACTACAACACAACACGAGCAACATGAGCAACATCTAGAACAACTTAAACAACTAATACGTCGTCATGTGGACCAATTTATGGAGATCTCCTACAATTGAGGTAAGTAGTCTAAGTGACTTGATCCTACTAAACCACAACGCTTGACATGTCTTCTATAGGTCAATAATAGACAATTTCATGTCTTTCTAAGCACATGTTTAACAACTTATTTTGGATTTCTCAAGTTTTGCCACTTAAATTAGGAAAGTCCAGTATTACTATCATAAACCTTAACTAAATATAAATATTGTTATAAGGTTGAGAATAGAGAGGATTGTATGTAAAATAATATTTAGTTGAGTATGAAGAGACATGTTTGTAAAAGAATAATTGGTTGATTATAGAGAGGATCGTTTGTAAAAGAATAAATGTTTGAGATAGGGAAGGCAAAAAAAGTTATTATGGACTCCAATGTAATTACACTTATGTATAGACAAATAAATGGGCCTAAGTCCGAATAAACAATGCCCAATCCACTAATTAGATCACTAATACACTAATTATAAGTCATTAAAATTTAAACTAGAAACAACAAAATAAAACTACACGAGGATGCAACTTTTCACTACATTTTTGAACCCCTTTTGATATGAATTGGCTCTAGATTTCAACAAAAAAGTTGTAGCACTTTCTCTAAGATTTCCAATGGTATCAAGAATGTTCTAATATGAGTTTGAGAGCTCAAGATACAGCCTTCACAAGACAGAATGCTCAAGTGGGTAAAAATCCAAAAGTTGAGTAAAAATTACAGCAGTCATCAAATAATATCACTATCATAAATTTAAGTCAAAACATGAATATAAGACACATACAAAAGTCAAAAAGGTCGAATAAATGCATACAAATTTGTTTCCCAAAATGCACTATCAATGACCATCCACCAAGTTTGCCCTCCAACATAATCCTACCTTATTCTCATATCAAGTATGATCGTTGTAGTCCAACAATACAGAAAAATAAGGGTAAGTTTGTGAAAGAAAATAACTTAATAACAAAATAAGGAAGTTATAGCTTCAACAAATATAATCAACTTAAAGCAATAGGTTAGTTTCTAACTTAAAACATAACCACAACTTCAACATCATTCACAACTTACAACACACACAACACGAGCAACATGAGCAACATCTAGAACAACTTAAACAACTAATACGTCGTCATGTGGACCAATTTATGGAGATCTCCTACAATTGAGGTAAGTAGTCTAAGTGACTTGATCCTACTAAACCACAACGCTTGACATGTCTTCTATAGGTCAATAATAGACAATTTCATGTCTTTCTAAGCACATGTTTAACAACTTATTTTGGATTTCTCAAGTTTTGCCACTTAAATTAGGAAAGTCCAGTATTACTATCATGGATAGAACAACTTGGGTGTGATCTGCCCATAACCTTATCATTCATAACTAAATCTATACAAATTTAGCCCACTGACTACTTTCCAAATACTGCACATCTTTCCAATACTTATATTACAAGATTATCAATTTTCTATCTTTATCAAGAAACTCCAAAAAAAACTAAGAACACCAAGTTCTATCTTCAAATTAAACTAAAATGTTTTCCAAAGCAAGACCAAAAGTATTCTAATTGATACTTCACCCATAGTAGTTGTGAGCAATACTATACTGCATAAATGTATTCTGCCTCTACAATGGAGAGAACTATTGAGTTTTTCTTTTTCCTAACCTATGAAATGAGATACTTGCTTAAGAAGTGACATCCTTCACTTGTGTTTTTTCTTTCAATTCTGTCTCCTGCATAGTCTACATCATAGAATCTTGTTAACCTAAAATTATTGTTTTTCTCATAGAAAAAACTAAGGTTAGTAGAACCTACAAGATATTTAAAGATGCACCTTACAACTTTAAGATAAGACTCTCAAGGATCAAACTGAAATCTTGCACATAGGCATACACTAAATATGATGTCTGATTTGCTTACAATTAGGTAAAGGAGAGATCTGATATCACTATAGATCATTTGATCTATTGGTTTACTTAATTCTTCTTTTAATAGACCCATAGAGTGATGCATAGGTATAGGCATTGGTTTATATTCATTCATCTTAAACTTCAAGAGAAACTCCTTTATATATTTTTGTTGATTAATATAGATACTTTTGTCTATTTGTTTAATTTGAAGCCCTAGGAAGAACTTCAACTCACCCATCATGCTCATTTCAAACTCATTTTGCATTAGCTTGAAAAAATCCTTACACAGACAACATAATCCTACCTTATTCTCATATCAAGTATGATCGTTGTAGTCCAACAATACAGAAAAATAAGGGTAAGTTTGTGAAAGAAAATAACTTAATAACAAAATAAGGAAGTTATAGCTTCAACAAATATAATCAACTTAAAGCAATAGGTTAGTTTCTAACTTAAAACATAACCACAACTTCAACATCATTCACAACTTACAACACACACAACACGAGCAACATGAGCAACATCTAGAACAACTTAAACAACTAATACGTCGTCATGTGGACCAATTTATGGAGATCTCCTACAATTGAGGTAAGTAGTCTAAGTGACTTGATCCTACTAAACCACAACGCTTGACATGTCTTCTATAGGTCAATAATAGACAATTTCATGTCTTTCTAAGCACATGTTTAACAACTTATTTTGGATTTCTCAAGTTTTGCCACTTAAATTAG